CCACAACCAGTGCTTTGATCACAAGGATAATCCCTGGGTTCCACTCCTCCTTGCCAAGAATACGCACAGCGCATTTGGCTTAGAGAGGAATTGGCAAATCACAGTCTGGGGCCTGACCTGGTGCACACATTTTTGTACATCCAGCAAGCCAAGAATGGCCTGCATAGTTTAAACAGAAAAACAGCAAGGAAGAATATTTAATGACACATGAAAATTTTATGACGTTCACATTTCCGTGTCCAAAAATTATGCGACACACCCAAATGTTATTCCCTTACATAATGTCTATGGCTGCTCTCAAGACACCAAAGCAGAAAGGCATCATCCGACGGGCGGAGGTGTGCTTCTTGCGCTCGCCCATCTGTTATCTGGCCCTTTACTCAAACAGTGTGCCTGGCCCTGTAAAAGGCCACCGAGTCAGGTCAAGGGCACCCCAGGCGCACACCAGCAGAGTGTACTGACCCGGGCAAAGCTCCTTCCTCCCTCCCCTCCGCTCCCTGCTTCTTTCTCTGCAGTATTGGGACTGAACCCTGAGAGCACTGAGCCACATCCTTACCCTTTTTTTTTTTAAAGAAAAAAAATCTTATTTTTAATTTTTTTTTCTTATCCCTTTTAAAAATATTTTTAAAAATCGGAACCTGTGTCTAAGTTGCTCAGGCTGGCCTTGAACTTGTGACCCTCCTGCCCTAGCCTCCTGACTAGCTGGGATAACAGGAGTGTGCTATCATGCCTGGTGGATTTCTTCTGGATTCTAATCCTGAGAATACTTTGGTGATGGGGTGCTATTACCTATCTTTAATACTGATTCCCGAGAAGGCTTCTTTTGAGGTGCATACATGCTGCAAGGTGGCCAGACAGGAGGGTGTCCAGCTGTCTCGTTTCCTGTCTGTCTGCGTGCTCATCAGCTGTGAGTCTAGGCATGAGTGCCTCCTTTGAGTGCCTGCTCTTTGAAAGCAGCTCTTGTGTCTTTGTCCCTTGTGGGCGTGGGGCATGACTTCTTCTCTCTCTGCTTGTGACACCATGAAGACCCAGTGAAGCCTCAGAAAGGTGTTCTAGTCACGGAACCCACTTGCTCTTAGACTATAATCTTAAAAACAATTTTAAAAAAACTGGGTTACAGTGTACTTTATAAAAGGCACGTGCCTCAAAAAGTTGGCTGTAAAGTGAATTTCTGTTCACTGAGTCACAGTACCCTGACTTTCATCATCAATTATTTTCAGTATAAAACAGACATTTTCATAGGAAAAGTCTGTACTTAAGACATCATAAAAATCACACTCAAGAATGCAGCAAGCCATTAAAAAACCATACAGAGAAAAAAAATGAAAATTTAAAATGAAAACTTAGTAACCGGTATGCAAGTCACAGAAAGCCACCATCACAGGACGGTGGAGAACGCCGCACGGCAAGCACACTCGCGTCTTGAGGACAGACACATGAGAAGCAGATGTGTTCGGCGGACTTCCCGGCCGTTCCGCCGCAGCCAGTGCAACAGGCAGGAACGGGCTTCCCCTGTCTCAGTTTACTCAAGGAGAACATAAACACCATTGTCTATCAAGACCATGAAGCTGCAGAATATAGCTCTCTGTTGGATGCTGACTTCCAGTGTGGCTTGATTTTTTCTCCCTGGATAGACTGACGTTTGACTTTGAGTTGCTAGAACGTGACCCTCAAACTTTGCTTTTAAAAGAGTAATGCATTTTACTTCAGGTAGTTACAGTAAGTCCACTTCATCATAGGTTAATCGTGTAAACATAAAGAACTGAAAATCCTGGGGTGGACAATGAAATTCTAAGGGAAGTACTTTCCTTTCCAGCATTGATAGTGACTGCTTCATTTACAGAGCATCCGGGAAGGGCCCCACAGCGCAGGGCTCGCTGCAGGGGCCGTGCCTGTAACTCGTACACCACCTAAGTGAGGCTCCCCAGGGTGACACCCTCGAAGGGCCAGTGCCAGCCCGCAAGGCCACAGCTGAGTGACCCAAGCCTGTCACACTGGGAGTCCGGCCATGGTGATGAACACGGCACTGCCTTTTCTGGTGTGCCCTGTCACACTGGCTCTTGGCACTGTCTCTCCGGGGCTAGGCATCCCTCGGCAGGGAGGGGGATGGACGGGGACAGGGAGCTCTCCCCACAGCACCTGGCAGGCACCCTGTGAGGACAGAGCTGCAGGCACAGGAGGCCACAGGGTGCCGAGAGGGGTCCCCAAGGTAAAAGGAAGGGGAGAGGACAGGGGCAGCCACAGCCTGTTCACCCACACTTCCCAGCTGGGCAAGTCTCGGTGCCTGTGCTAGGGACGGGGGAAGGGAGGCCAACACCACAAGCGCTGGGCAGGTGTGGATGCAGTCGGCCCCTCACCAACCAAGGCCTCGACACCCAACAGCGGGAGGAGGCGACGCCACACACCAGGGCTGTCCGCAGTCAGGAACGAAAGGCGAAGGGCAGGCGGGGAACCAGCACGCAGGCACCCTGGGAAGGACTTGTTCAGTGCCAAGGAGCCAAGCAGTGTGAAAGCCTGCTGCAAAACGCCTCAGCGGCGCATACCGCCAGCCGGGAAACCGCCGTGTGAGAACAAGGCTCACCTGTGCACACGACTGGCTGTTCGTGTTGGCCTGGAACAGGCTGGATGCGAGAAGGGAAAACAGCAAAACTGAAGGAGCAGCGGTGCGGAGGCCCGGGCAGGAGGTGACTTTTCACAGAAAGGCCTCTGTCGCTGACGCTGGTGTCTATGCCCAGTCTTCTCTGACCTACCCCACCCTGGGGGAAGCCTTTGCTTTCAATTCTGAATTACCTCAGATTTACAGAGTACCCTGGAAGGGCCACCGAGGCCGAGCAATTCTTCCTGTCAGAAAATCTGGACCTCGGTGGCCTCTGGCACACTTTGGCCTCTCCAGTGTTTTTGAGAGGAGACATCAGGGCCTCCCTGGTGAAAGAGGCTCTGCCTGCCTCCCCTGGGCCGGGGGCTGTATGCTCCCGCACAGCTGCAGGGGATCTCAGCCGCTCACGAAGACCAGGGAGGCTCTGAGAAATCACTAGAAGGTTGCTGACTTGGGAAAGGAACTGGCTGGTTACTCTGAACTTAAAACCTTAAGAAGGAAGTTTAGTGTCTTTGGAGGTAAAGGAAGCTGCTCTTGAATTTTAACACGCAATTACCACATCCCTAAGGGTTCCTCATGACAAGTACACCGTATAGGGACTCTCAGTTTTCAGAGTCACACTTCTCCTGCTTCCTGTGAGCAAGCAGCGTCAAGTCGGGCGGGGAGCCCCCGAAGCTCCCCTTCGTTGACGCCCAGTGCCGTCTGCTGACTTGCTGGCTCTGACAACACTTCTGCTGTAGGTCCATCGTCGCTCACCTGCAACTCCAAGTTCCTAAGAGTTCTAACAGCTTGGTTTTCGGGTGGCAACACGTGAACTTCCTGCACATCAAACTCGACTCTATCTGAAGCTATTTCTGGTCATTGTTGCTCTTCAGTGTGGATCTCCACGTTTGACAATGAATTAATAAGAATGTGTGATGCTGAGGTACTGTGCAAGGATGTCGCAAGCTCTATGGCGAATGTGCTAGGTTATTTTTCCCCACCCCAGAACGTTCTGAATCCTACACCCCAGCACGCCCAAGCGGTTTTGGATGAAGGGCTGGGGGCTGCATCGCTGTCTCGAGCTAGCAAAGAACTGCTGGGCCAGACCTCTAGGACTCAAGACAGCTCGAGCCAGAGGGTCAAAGGGACCCCTAGAGCAGGAGCTGGGAGCGGGGGTGTGACGCATGAGATGTCTGGGCCGGGGCAACAAGCAGACAGCCGCGTGCGTTAGGACTGCGGAGGCCAGGAGGTGCAGGGCAAGCCATCTTCGGCACTCCTGGGACTCAGCTCAGTGCTGCTTCTCGCCGTTTCCTAAGCCCTGGGTCCTGGCTCCCGTGGCCTAGCATGAACAGGCCAGCAGGGGGAGGTTTGCTGGCAGAGCTGGGCTGGCCCTTGGGGAATCCATCCGCCTGGTTAGGAGATGCCACTGAGCCCACAGCTGCGTAAACATACACCGCCAACGGAGCTCCTCCCAGCCCTAGCAGAGTTAGAAAACACACACATATGGAGGCCACAGCAGCCCTGGCAGCAGCATCAGAAACATGTGTATTTATCTTTCCAACTAGGCTCTAACTTCCTTGAATGCAGGGGCCACGTCTTCCTCCTCCCGTCCCCACACTGCATGTGGTGCCTGGCACGCTGCACGCAGCCAGTGAGTGCCAGGAGCGAGGGGCAGTGAGACCTGGAGTAAGAGCTGCAGTTTCCTTTGTCCCGGTCCTGGGTCCATCACAGAAAGCAGCTGCGCAGGCACACGGAGCTGGGTCACAAGTGTGCAGAGTGCTGTGCACAGATAGGAGAGAACGCACGTGTACTTACGGACCCCAATTTAGCATTTCTTTCAATTACTCTCTTCAAAAACCACCCAATTTTTACTAACTTTAATACTACCCATTTTGGTTGACGGGAAAGAGATGAAAACTTAGTAAAGCATCTTAATGCGAACAATGCTACACAGAATCAGGGTCAAGGACTTTGGAGTCACCTAAAGCCTACGCATGCACATGGCGGGCCCAGCTGTGTACGTGGCCACGCTCAGGACTGAGACCTGAACCATGTTTTCTGATTCCTAAACTGTCACCGGCTCTGTACCAAGTCAGACTAACGCATTCTGTGAAACCATCCTCCTTCTCATGGTATTCCTTCAAATGCAAAATTTAAAAATGTAACAGAGTAAAACCTCATTGGTGTGTTCCTCTATGATAATCGGCCCTACTTGATTAATCAATTAGTAGAAAGAGATGTTATTTAAGAAATAAAATATGATACTTACAAACATTCATACATGTATCAGAACAACTGCTTACCAATTAGAGTAAGTGAGGTTTTACTGTGTATAACACACACATATGAAGGACACTCAGATCACTTCGAGATGTTTCTAGACATCCGCCAAAGCCAGTCTCACAGGGCACGAAGCACTTACCACTGCCAGCACTCCCCTCTCTTTTGCCACGGGAGCTCCCACTGCCATCTCTGCCCGACTTTATGCGCTAGAGCAATGAGAAAACAGATTTACAAGAATAATCAATATTGCTTTGAAGCTGCTCTAACAAAAGGCTGAATGCTAAAGTAACGTTATTAAGTGCTTTGGTTTGGGGCTTATTTTTCAAGGGGAACAATATAATACAGGACATATATTTTATATGATTATTTATAATAGTCACCCAAGGAACGATATATGAAAGAGTGCAGGAAATCTGTCCACACACTAAGACCAAGGACTCCAGCTGAAGGTCTGGATCCCTTGGAAATGTCCTGCATGAGACCAGCTGAATACCTAGAACTCCTAACAAAGCCTCCCATGAATCCAGCTGGAGGCCCAGAGCCCATGACAATGTCTCATGCAGGCCTGTTTCATGGATCTGCGCTGGGAAGGCCCAAAGGTCAGTGGTGGAATCTAGGAAGTCTGTGCCAGCGGGATGAAGGATCTGTGCTCGCAGGCTGAGGGATCTGCACTGGAGCCGTGAAGAGACACTCAGAAGAACCAGAGCTCCCCTGACAAGTACCATAGTCACCCTCAGCAACAGTGTGGTCCCAAGCTCCTCCAGTATTTTTGGTTTTGACTTTTTGAGACAGGGTCTCGCTATGCAGTTCAGGCTGGCATTGAGCTTACTTTGTAGCCTAGGCTGGCCTTGAACTCACAACGATCCTCCTGCCCCAGCCTCCCGAGTGCTGGGATTACAGGTGCGGGCCACCATGCCCAGCCAAGCTCCCCTAATGATCAAGATGGCCAAGTTCCCATCAGGGAAGCCAACGCAGCAAGCTTCTTCAGGAGCCTGAGCTGTGTACCTTCTTCCCCTCGGAGCCGGGAAGCGATGTTCAGAGTGAAGACCAGAGCTCCTCCAAAGTGAACCAAAGCCATTCTCAGTGCCAACAAGGTCCCGAGCTCCTTGCAGGATGAAAACAGCTAAGTTCATCAGAAAGCCAGCATGATGAGCTCCTCCAAAACAACCAATTGCTCCTTACAGCTTCTACCAGCTCCAACAGCCTTTCTCCGCTCCCAACAGCCTCTTTAGTTCCCAAAGCCTTTCTTCTTCTCCAGGTCTGCCTCTTATGCTGCTGGCAACAGTCCCCAGGTGGGTCTCCCACACCCAGCACCACGCTTGCTCAGTTCAGCTGGGGGTTATAAGTTGACCACCAGTTGTCAATCTATTACACTAAGTAATCCTTAGAACTAATTCTTCAACACCTGACAGTTGATTCTTTAGGAAAAAAAGATGGAAGGGAAAGGTTCAAAGGCTGCCATCTAAGACAAATGACATTCCCACTCCTAAGTGTTCAGACAACTCATAAATCAAACAGTGTTTCCTTGACGTGAAGCCTCAGGCCTGAAACATGATTGTCTAAGGGAGAGGTCAAAGAGGGGAGGAAAGAAATCTACAGGAAGTCCTGTCTTACTCCTAATCTGTAATAGCTGGATTTGATCTACTTTAGGGTTAAAAAAGAGTAAGCTGGCGTTTGAAACTGAACTTCTAAAATAAAGGTACTACAAAAATCTGACAAAATATTTACAGTCTTTCCAACAGTTTACTTTCTTAGCTCCACACCCACTTTCAAAGCATAAGAAGTATCTCCAAACTGATATTCTTAAATTTCTTGCTACACTGTATGGTGCTTCCGTGTTATATCAGAATTTTTGTGTTAACACTGAATCTGCCTGTAAGGCACACTGTCAAATTATGTATAATGGTTGATTTACAGCGATACAGGGTGGTTAGTGAGTAGAAATAGACAGCTTTGGATAAATATTTGTAATTGGGTTGAAACTTCTTAATGTAGATATTTTATTTAGATCATCAATATAGTTAGTTCAAAGGGCAAATTATTTACTCCCACAACCCTGAATACTTTCCAAACATTTATGAATTATCAGGTCATGGCTGAGGTTATTGACACTGGTCTTCTAGGATGAAAAAGTTCCTTTCAATGGTTCAAGGCTCATTTCTATAAAATGAAGTACTGTATCCTAAAACTGAGGACTCTCAAACATTATATAAACATGGCCAAGTTTTCCTATTAAAAAGAAAAAAATACCTCCCTTGAAATGCCATTTTTCTCCTTGTTTTCATAGTCAAAAGAAACTCTCAGAATGATGTAGCAAAGTAAGAATTTTAACATCTAGCATCGCCCATCTCCCAGCCCCATCAGAGCCCCCAGCCCGCCCCTCCTCCCAATTTATCAAGAGACACCTAAGCCTGGTGGCCTCGGCAGCTTTCCCCCTTCCTGACCCACCCTTAGGCCACTGGAAAACGCCCGGAGTGACCCAGGGCTTCGCAGCAGGCTCCGTGTGCAGACCTGTGCGCCACATTCTGCCCTCTTCACTCGACAGCTGACTGTCCTGTCTGCTTCGGGAGTCAGGAGCAGCAGCAGTCCAGAAACGACACAGTCCTCCCTGTCCGCCGGGCTCCCTCTGTGTCCTCCTGCAGCGGCAGCTGTGGTCAGGTCCTGCTCTGCTGGCTCCTCTGCCTCCCTCGCCACCTCACACCTCTGGCACCATTCTTCTCCACACCTAACTCCAGGGGTCCAATCCACGCCGCTCCGCGCACAGGCCCCCAGGGACTGTCTCTGTGGCGCTGAACCCTTCGCCTCTCGCTCCCCACTGAGCACTGGCCTCAGACACCACACGGCCTCCACGCCCTCTGCCTCCCGCTGTGCCTGCGCCCTGGGCACCATAGCCGATGGCCAGGCCTTACTGGATCTTCTGCAGCACACACCAGAGAGGCTTTCCGGGGGATGAGGAGCCAAGGCAGGGCCACGAGTGAGGACCTTAGAAACCAAAAGCCTTTAAGAAAAGACGCGATTGGTACTCTCGGCCCGCCAAATACAACCCATGTACACATCACATTTTGATGCCAAGGACATACATTCTATTTTTTATTTTTTGAGGAATTTTCTCAGTGAAATAATATATAGCACAAACAGGACATTCTTGTAGATTTTATTACATACATAAAAAAGTTTTGCATTTTTTCATTATAATCAATTTTAAAGCTATGCTTTTATAGGATCTTAAAATGGACTCTTTCCTATTAAAAATATAACCAAAAGGTTTCTGCTTAACTAGATTGTAAACATTTTTATTGCTTTTTGGTAATGACTGGAAATTTGGGTGTAGGCACCACTTATATACTCTATTAATTCTGAATGTCACATACTATTTTGTCAATCTGGCCAAAAGAAAGCATTTCTTGAGATTGCTTCCTGACTTCCCGGGGTGGGGGTGAGGAGATGGAAAGTACTGGAGGAGCATTGCTCTATTTGAATAGTTTAAAAACATAATGAATTTGAGTAAAGTATTAGTTATTAATATACCACTACTTTGGGGCTAGCAACAAAAATTTTCTGTATAGTGTATTGTTTCTTTATTCTCTTGTTTGGTTGTTGTTTGTTTTTTTTCCAGTACCAGGAATCGAACTCACAACCTCACGCTTGCCAGGCAGGTGCTGTGCTGCTGAGCTAAATCCTCAGCCTGTTTCTTTATTCTCTTTCTTTTCTTTTCTGTCTCTTTCCCACACACACATCCAGCACTGACAGACTCCGTGCAGCCAATGTTCTTATGTTCAGTGAGCAAATGAACAAAACATCGTAAAAACCCCCAGATCAAAAAACAAAAACCAAACAAAACAGCATTTCTGCTGGGCCTGGCAGCAAATCCCTATAATACCAGCACACTGGGAATTTGAAGCAGGATGATCACAGGTCCAAGGCAATGGCCCTGGATCACAAGTCCAGGGCAATTTACTAACCTAGCAAGACTCTCAAAATAAAACATAAAAAAGGAGAGTACTCCCTGAGTTCAAGCCCTAGATAGATTTGTTTTCCATTCATAAGTTTGCACAAATCTTTCTCCATTGTAAAACAATTTTTAAAAATCCACGGCCCGATTCAGTTATGTCTACTTCCCTCTCTCACCTTAAATCAGACTTTGCATACTGAACTGGTATTTGATCATCTGGAAGGTGACTCTTTGGGGGCATCACCGAGTATAAAAATTTCACACACACCCACATACACTCACAGGAACAGGCTGGCCAGGCTGCCTCTTTCATCTTTTCCTTCCTGAAGGCATGAGCACAGGTCCACTCTATGATTTCACAGCTCCAGGTAAAGGCTTGCTGTGATTATCTCTAATTTCAACTACCTGACTTTCACAATGTCTTAAATTAGCAATACGGGAGGGTTCACTTATAAATATGTACAAGGACCAGGAACTTTAGCAAGAAAAGTATGAAAGTTAGACTTACGATAGAAAGTTACCAAACATGATAAAGATACTGACCAACAATGTTGAAATATTTAAACAAGACACATATGTATACTGAGGTACAAGCATTAATAATGATGTTTGTGAAGACATTTTAATTATTATATAGGAAAAATGTTTTTACATCAGGGTTGATTCTAAATAAGAAACAGAACGGGTAACAATCTGAAGCTTTAAATTCAAACTTAGAAAAGGAGAGCATCCTTTTAATTTTGTTTGGTCCCGGGAATCAAAGTCAGGACCTCGCATTTGCCATGCAGGCACTTGTGCCGCTGAGCTGTATCCCCGGCCCCTAAGGACAGCACCCTTAATTAAGAAGTTTATTACACTTTGTTCCATAACTATAGGTTTCATGCCCATAGAAGCCGGAAAACCAGAAGCCCTACCTCCCTGGGTCACAGACTAAGAACGAGGGCCCGAGGTGGGAGGGATGAGAAGGACCGGAGACGCTGGCTCTCAGGGCTGTGTGGCTTCCTTCTCTGCAGCCCCTTTTCCTCTTCCCGGCATTGCTCCTTTACCCGATACTCCTTCCCTCATGTGTATAAGCAAAACTTAGGTGAGCAAACATCAAGAAACTACTCCTGGGTCTAAAGTAAAATGAGGAGAACCAGAGAAGACCAAGGAAACTCTCTTGTGCGAGCAGGACAATTTACAGAAAGGGGCGAGAGGGAAAGGGCCACTCTGGGTGAAATTTGGAGAAATCAAACAGATTTTAAGGAAATCGAAAAGAGGGACTAAACTTTTTTTGTATTTTGTGGTTGTGGACTATGACTTTAATTCTTTTTCTTTTGAGACAGGGTCTCACTATGCAATTGGGATTGGCCTTGAACTCCCTTTGTAGCACAGGCCGCCCTGGAACTCACAGAAATCCTCATGCCTCAGCCTCCCAAGTGCTGGGATTACAGGTGTGTGCCACTGTGCCCAGCTTGACTTTAATTCTTAAAACAGACTGGGATATAACAAAGTTTGAGTGCAAAAGCAAAAACTGTCATGAGAGAAGATGTCTCAGTGACATTGAGTTTCACGCAGATTACGATGAGGTCAGTAATAAAATATTACCCAGAGAGACTCTGTGTAAGTTCAGAGATGTTAATAATTTGGGTAAAATAAGTAAGAAAACACTGAACAGTTCACATGCACCAGTGCTGACTCACATGAGTATGTTCAAGTAGTCCTAAAGTCAACACGGAATTTCTGAGTATAACGTAAAGATTTGCAATTAATGAATCACTTATTGGTAGAAAAATGTATTTCTACAATTCCTGGGGTCCTTGACAAATGATTTGCTCCCATGTATTTTAAATATTCTTTCTGAAATATAGTTATCACTGTCAATTACAGGGCTTGTTAAGTCTAATACCTTTTTTTGAGACAGGGTCTCGCTATGCAGTTCAAGTTGGCCTTGAGCTCACTCTGTAGCCCAGACTGGTCTTGAACTCACAACGATCCTCCTGCCTCAGCCTCCCGAGTGCTGGGATTACAGGCGTGTGCCACCACACCTGGCTCTAATACCTTTTAAAATACATTCTCAGAAGAAACCATTATCTTCACCATAAGAAGTGGTTTTATTTTTTTCAAAGTACAGTTTCAGGATAAAAGTTACTTAATACATATATAAATACTTTGATGGAAGAGGAAATGAGAGGCATAGTAGTAAGTGGAAAAAAAAAGTGTTTCAATAACATTAATCTACTCATTTAGCTACAGAAAATTTACTAGTCCTTAGGACTCTGTCCAAAGTAGTGAGCCCGATGTATAAAGAGCTGAGCAAATACAGGCAGAGCCTGTGATAAAGCAGAGGGCAAAGAAGAGGAGAGGGCAAAAGGCAAGGTGGATCAAACATGAGCCACACGTCCTACAGGGAGTAAGGGACAGCCTGGTACCTACAAAGACACAACCAAGACACAACAAACAATGAGGAAATTAAATTAGCAGTAGCCTACAAAAATCGGGAGAATTAATTCTCAGACCATTTAAGGGAGATGCTTTCCTTTTCACCTCACAGGCCCATTTCCAAGGAGTCCCTGGCATCAGAGTTTGCTGAAGCTTACACCGAGAGTCCTTGTGAAGCTGGGCCTGCTGGTCCCATGCCTATAATCCCAGCACTCTGGGAAGCTGAGGCAGGAGAGTCACAAATTCAAGCCCAGCCCGAGGAATTTAATTAACCAAACCCCGTCTAAAAATATAAAAAGGGCTGGGATGTAGCCCAATACATTGGTCCTGGGTTCAATCCCCAATCCCAAGTACCCCATAAGGAAACAAAAAAGATGTAGCATCTCTTGTGAATAACATCAAGAATCAACAAATGGGACTATATCAAGTTAAAAAGCGTCTGCATAGCAAAGGAAACAACAGAATGAAGAAACTCTGCAGAGGAGGAAATCTGTGCCAGCTACTTCTGATAGAAGATTAAATTCTAAAATGTACAAACAATCCTCAAAAATTTAAGGATGAAAAAATTTGCCACGAAACAACAAACCCAGTGAAAAAGCTGGCAAGTAACTAAATACGATACTTTTCTAGAGAAGTTCAAATGGCTACATGTTCAACATCTCTAGCCAACAGGAAAATGCAAATTAAAACTACACTACAATCCCATCTCACTCCAGTCAAAATGGCTATCAAAAATACAAGAGTGAAAGGTGATGAAGACGGGGTGGGGTGAGGCCTCCTATGTGGTTGGTAGGGATGTACTCAAGTGTGAACACTACGGAAGCCAGCACAGAGGTTCCTCAAAAGACTAAACACAGAAATACCACTCATGGTTATATGTCCCAAAGCACTAAAGACCGCATTCTACATGCTCACATGTACACCCATGTTTACAGCAGCACAATTCACGATCGCTAAGCTGGGGGAACATCAGATGAATGGATAAAGAAAACGTGGTGTTCACGTATTACAGCAGCCATTGATATTTTCCTACTAATCTATCCATAACTGTGTTAAGTTTGTAATGTTCCTATCCTATTTCATAATGTGTGTTTATTATTATGTGTTTCCTACAACAACCATTGAGAATAGTTAATGATTTTTCAATAGGTCACTCATGTATAGTTCTATTTATTTTCTTTAGAAGCCACTTTGAAGATACCAAAGTATAGCACAACAACTCTTGATAATCTCCTACCTCTTTTGTCTCTAACTCACTATTATTTGTCTATTTGTTTTCCTGAGAAACTATTTTGTAGATAATAATATGTAAAACGATAACCATTGATAATTTCCTACCATTTTGTCTGTAATTTGCTAAGTCCCCCCTATTATTATGTTATCCTTCTTTTATTCTTTAAAATAAAAAAAAAAAAAAAAAAAGAAAACGTGGTGTTTATGTACAAATGGAACAGGACTCAGCTAGAATAAAGTAATGTCATCTTCGGGAAAACGGACAAAACTAAAAACTATCATGTTAAGGGCAAATAGCTAGACGCAGAAAGGTAAATATTGCACATTTTCTCTTATAGGATAAACCTAAAAATAAATAGATAGATAGATGATAGATAGACAGGTAGGTAGACAGATAGGGGCAAGTTGAGGAAAACCCAGAGGCAGACTTCTGGAGACAGGGAAGGGGAGAGGGAGGACAGAGAAAAGGAGGCAGGATAACAGGATTGAAATGAAGGCATGTTAGCTGCAGGTGCCCACTTCCTCAAACAAACTCCGCTATTATTATTATTATTTTTTTTTGTGTGTGTGTGGTTTTTCTCCAGTACCGGGAACTGAACTCACGACCTTGCGCTTGTCAAGCAGGCGCTTTTGCCGCTGAGCTAAATCCCCAGCCCCTCCGCTATTATTAACATAGTTAAAAACAATGACCTGTGAACTGGCTGCAAGAAGTTCCCAGGAAGGCAGAAGGTACTTCTTACTCTTTGAAAGTGGTCAGTGCTGGAAGTCCACTGAATGGGACATACTAACACGTAACTGTCTTAGTAAGTTATATGTGATCCACATCTGTAGCAGTCTGTGCTCCCTTTCAGGGTGACTAACCAGAATTACTGATGCTGAAATCTGTGAGGTCTGAAGACTCTGACTGTATCTGGATCCACGGCTCTGAATTAGGGGGCCTGACTAGTAGTGCACTAAGTTCCAAAAAACTTCCTTGGTTTGAAATATATCCTTGTATTTCTACCCATAGGGAACCCATTTCTTACAAAATTTTACCCTTAAACTAAAATTTTAGTTATGCTGGAACTGAAAAAAATTTTCCAGTGCTTCTTTCTTGTTTTTGTTTGTTTGTTTGTTTTTGTTTTTCTTCCGGTACCAGGAATCGAACTCATGACCTTGCGCTTGCTAGGCAGGCACTGTGCCACTGAGCTAAATCCCCAGCCCCAGTGCTTCTTTCTGACAGAAGCTCCTAACATTCACTTGAGCTATAGCAGATTGACATTTTGAAAATTAACACATAGTTTTTGGCCCATATGAGATACCTGTTCCCTTATTTCCTTCATTCTTTCCAGCCTCTTGAGTTTTGTGACATATTCTTGAACCTCTTTTAATCCAATATCTGTGCAGAGACGAATCAAGAAGCGCAGACCTAAATTGTGAAAGAATGTATTTAGAAAAAAAGTGTGCATAGTGGTGAAAGTCCACAAATCAATGAATTCAGCCTTTCAGGACACAAGCAGGAATGAGGCCCAGAAATGATGTTTTTCTTTTCCTTTCTTGAAAAACAATTTTACTCCACAATCTCTGGACCAACCCTCTCCACATGTCTGGTCCTCAGGTTAGCACATCCTGGAGGAGCACAACACAAAGACACTTCTTGGTGAGAACTCCAAAGGCAGACGTGACATCTGTTACCGTGCTGATGGGAGATTCATACATACACGTGAAGAGATCTAAGGGAGTCTAGGCTCCTGAATGTAGACTATCTGAACATGTAATAATAACTACTAAGAAAGGTTCGTACTGTGAGTAAATGTGTTCACTCATTTCCTCATTCATCTGTTTTTGCAGTGCTGGGCATGGAACCCAGGGCTTTGCGCACACTAGGCAGTGCTCTAGCACTGAGCTACACTTCCAGCTCCACTTTTACAATTAACTTCAAGACACTGACTCTGCTCCTGAAGTCTCCCTCCCTTCCCCGCTGGGCACTGCCTGTCTTCTGCCCTGACCTCCCTCTCTCCATCTCGCCTGGCCCACCTAACATCAGCTCACGTTGTGCAGGGTCCTGGGAGGTTTGCCTTACAGTCTTCAGTCGCTCTGCCTGGCCATAGCTTAAACCTGGTCTCTGACTCCTCAGCCTTTGCCACATTTGTTGCTAGGCATTATTACAACTTTACTAAAATAACAGATCGGATCTCCACCCGAAATCCACAGTACTTCAAAGAAAACCTACCCCATGCTGACATCATGATTTCCCCCCAAATCTCTTTTTTTTTTTTTTTTTTGTCTTTTTGAGATAGGTTCTCATTATGTAGTTCAGGTTGGCCTTGAGCTCACTTGGTAGCCCAGGCTGGACTCAAACTCACAATGATCCTCCTGCCTCAGCCTCCCAAGTGCTGGGATTACAGGCGTGCGCCACCATGTCAGCAAAATCTCCTTTTTTCCTGTATTATCTCTCATTTTATCCTTCACTATCTGCATAAATATCCATTTTTCTTTCCTTTCTTCTACTTTATAGTAATCATTCTGACTCTGTTATACATCTTGAGGACATTTCTCCCCACCACCGAGAGGCCCTTGCATTCTGCCTTGCTGTTGCATAGCAGGGTGGGATCTGGGGCTGGGACTACCCTCACACAGCTCTCAGCCTCCTGCTGTGAGTGGCCCTGGGGGTTCCCCTCACTCCCGGTGCTCTGCCTCACGAAGTGCTTTGCTTTTTTACTGGCCTCATCGCTACTTTATCTAGCCCTGAAGTTTCTTCTCTCTTAGTAGAAACTTCCTCTAGATTTCCCCAGATTTAATTATCTCTTTGTCCTTGGTAGAAAAAAACCCTTTTGTAGTATATAGCAAAACATATGTTCCATCTGCTACATTTTTTGAAACAGACTGAATTTGGAAATAGATTGTACATTCTTGTGTCTCCTTGCTGTTCCTGACGCTGTTCTCCTACCTGGAATGCCTGCTGCTGCCCTTCCTGGCTGGCAAGGCATCTGAAGTGTGAAACCAGTTACACAATCGTCCCCTAATTCTGGCACAGTTGGGAGTGCTCTACTTCTACAGCTCTCTGACCATTTCTCATTTATCTCATTCATTATATCCTATTAGTTCAATGATTATTAGTGAGTCCTAGGGAACAGAAATCAAGACTTCACTGTTCACTGTTATATCACCGGCACATAGGATATAGCTGATAAAAATTTAGTGGAACAAATAAATGAATAAGAAACCAGGAAGTCTTAAAGCTAACAATGAAGTTTAAAAAAATTATTGCTATTATAACAAAATAATACAAAAATATATTGAAATAAATTTATATGCTGATGTTGTCCAACTTTGGGGGCAGCTGGGGATGGAACCCAGGACCTTAATTAAACACACTGGCAAGCACTCTACCACTGAGCTTTACCCAGCCCGGCCTTCTGTGCCCATTAACGGATCTAAGAGGCAGCTCAAACACAGCACATCCCCAACCAACTTTTGCTTTTTCCCTCCAAAATGTGCTCCCCTTCCCCAGTTTTCCACATTTCAGAGTTAGTGGCCCCACCCTCCCAGCTCTCCACACCTAGGTCCCGGGTGTCATCCTTGGCACCCCCCCCCTTCCCCCCCGCCAATCCAGGGACCCAGCAAGTTGTCGTCGACATCTTACAAACCTGTTCTCAATCTGACCCGTCCTTTCCCCACCTCCACTGCTATCGCTGGAGGCCAGGCTAATAGTGCGCACTCACTCTCAGGGAGATAATGCCTACCCAGCCGACTCTCCAGGTAACAGGCAGAGCGATCTTCTCATGTGGGCCTCCAGTACTGAAGCCTGAGTCACTCCTACTGCAGATGCTGTCAGGTCAGATTACTATTCTGCTCAGCGTTCTCCAGTGGGTGACTGTCTCCCAAGATGCGCCCCACAGTCCTCACCGGAGGCCTGGGAGGACCTCAGGCCCTGCCCTCGCAGGCTACCTCCCCTCTGACTCAGCTCCTCCTATTCTCCCACCACACAGCCCACCACGCGCCAAGCGCACGAACCTCCGTATTTTCATGGTTTGCTTCCTTTCATTCTTTCTGGGCTCTGCTCAGAGGCTGCCCTGTCTAAAACACGCACCCTCCAGTACTGTCCACCTCCTCCCCTCTGCTTCCTTCACAGCACTATGACTACCGACGTGCTACACATCTGTTACTGTCTTTCTCTTTCCACTAGAATAAAAACTCACAACACCAGGGATTTTAGTTTATCAGTTTTCTGCTCTATCTGCAGTGGTAGAACAACGTCTGGACCACAGTCATTTCTTAAGAATTTAGACAGAGATAACCAACTTAAGACCATTAAAAGTACTGTAAAGGTACTAGTACTAAAATGATTTAAAATGTTACACATTACTGTATAAATTGCCTATATATAAATTTACATTAATAATTCACATTAAGGTTTCTCTTCCTATTTTCAGAAGAAAGGCTTAGGGATTTTTTTTTTTTTTTTTTTTTTTTTTTTTTT